TTTTTTGATAATACATATTATAAATTTTTTAGCACATATTTATGTACATAATTTTGTTTTTTGATAATACATATTATACATTTTTTAGCACATATTTATGTACATATTTTTGTTGCATAAATACATACTTTGGTTAAATAAATACATATAAATCCGAGCCCTAGTTATAACCATTTAATAATGTAATAACGATTATGTAAATATATAGTATGCGATATAGGTTGGGATGAGAAATGATTCTTAAATTTCACAACGAGATAAATTTTAAAAACAATGTTTTTAGTCGCCATATAATATATAGCACCATATACGAGTAAGTTATATTATATGTCTCAAGGGTCTCGTTTTCAACCACTTTTCCATTATTTATATTGATGATGATGCAGACGTTTTTAACCACATATACTTCTTGTGTTTCTATGTTTATATAGCTTATAAATGACTTGACAATCCTTCAAATGTGAATACAATATACTATAATAATAGCTTGACATTAACTTAGAATTTACAAACATTGAAAGCAAACATACGAGTATTAGCATAAATATAAATTATTGCAAAGAACTATATTGTTTGTTAAAAGCATAAATTTTTTTTTCAACTTTATTAGTTATTATACATTTATACAGTTATCTAGGTATATGACGCTATAATGTAGATTAAATTGCGTTAGCACAATACTTTCTCAAATTAACAGTATTATTATATAGATCTGTTTCAAAAGCTCTGTGATGTGTATAACGTCATTTACTTAAAACAATCTACCTCAGAATCGCGAATAAATTAAATACAGAACATAGTGAAGGAATACAAAGGAGCCATCAACACAAAGAGCAGCTTAAAATGCCACAATCATATTTATATTTGAAGGACAAAAGCTGCCACTTTTCAGTGACATAAATGTTTATATATTTGGGCTGCAGTTGAATCAATTGTGTACTCGCAAGTCATAGTCAATTTTGTTAGCAAACATATTTGATTAAAATAGATAATACTAGGTAATCTGTATTTTATTTAAGTTTGAAGTAAAATTATCCTCTAAAATATTACCAATAAAATTAATATTTCCAAATGTTTTTTTTGTCTTATTTTTTTTTTTTTAAGGTTTTTAACTAATTTAAGAGATTTTGAGTGATGAATGCAAATTATTTGTATCATTCAGAATTTTAAGCATAAATTCGATTTAAAATTATATAAAGTTTCCCTACGAGCTATGATAAGAAGACGATGGAAATGAAAACAGTAATAAATATTAACTAGTAGATACGAGTAGGTCTCTCTAAGTGGACTATTTACTTGTTTACCTACGCATGAACTTTTATTACTAAAGTCTGCATACAATTTATGAAATAATAAAATAAATAACAATTATTATTCATTAATATTTAACGGACCAACTTTTAAAAAATTCTACTTTACTATACTACCGGTGCGCTATAGTCAAAAAGGATTATCGGATCACTTCACTTTTGAATTCATATCGTTTACTGTACAACATATTTTTAATGGCTCGTGGGACAACAGTACTATAGTATTTTAACTATCATTGAAGACCGAGTATTTTTTTTCTAATAACTTAAATACAATATAGTATGTATTATTGGTTTTAAATCAATAAATAATTTTAAAAAATACGTCCACATTAGATAACATATTATCAATTCAAAATAAATCATAGATCAAAAAATAGCACTTTCCGAGGAAGTTATCATATTAAATAATAACATCATCAATTTAGTTACCCCTTCAAATCAAAAAAAAAAAAATAATAACACAATATTCTATATTATTATTGGATACAGCCAGTGACAGCTGCTATCACATAACACACCAAAATCGTGCAAAATATATTTTGTACTTTGACCGTTTCCGTCTCGTCGCGGCCATATAGGCTTTCTTTTTATAATGATTAACTAACGCTATGTTTGTACAGAGCATTGAATTTGGTGGTAACTCATGGTCCATGGACGCATAAATCTATTTCTGCTAACTTAACCTTGTGTGGACTAACCTTGTAAAAATATGTTTTCGACCAAAAACTAACGGCTAGTACTTCTACTTCTATGCTTATAAAATTCTTACAGGTATAATAAAAAATTTATCAGTAATAAAATATGTCCATTGTTGGAATATAATATTTTAATATTATAGCTTCCTCAAATCGAGTCCATAAAATCGTATTTTAAAATCTTTCCCATGTCATGTCTCGTCCAATAAATGTAATGCACAACATTATGTTTAAAGTTATACATTATATATTAAAAGTTTTGCTTCCGCTACTGTTCGCTTTGGGAAATTTTAATTCATTATTAGTGTTGAACTTAGAAAAATGCGTTGAAATAAGCGCAACGACAGACGACACGGCTCATATTTTTCCTTTAGGATGTTAAAAGAGATAGTTTTAGGATGATATTCTGGAGATAAAGTGAACAAAAAATAAATACAAAAATTATATTTGTTTCGCCAACTGGCTTTAAAACTTATTTTTAAATAAATTTCGACAACGGGCTCTAATTAAAAACTTTGTACAATCGTAAATGTTTTTAGTTTTACAACAAATAAAATTTTAAACTTGTTTACAACAATGTTGTGTAAAAAAGTACGTGCCTACGTTTAGAACTAATAGCATCTGATAGCGTGGTTAACAAAACTACTACATAGAGCACCAGTAGCGTACTGAAATGGGGTTTAGGAGATACAACTCCTACTAAAATTCAGTTCTAAGTAGGCCACTTATTACCAAATGTTATATTTTATTTTTGCTATGGAGCCATTATTAAGGATTATTATCTAGTACCTATATATTATAAATAACTCAAAATGTACGTGTTCAAATTTCAATTTAGTTGCATCCAAAATTCAAAAAAAAAACCAATCTAACTTTTTGCGTTGTAAGTGGTTCTCATTTGAAAAAAAAAGTATTTCGTATCGTCATATGACATCCGTTTGCCGTATATAAAAAGTTGTGGTATGGCCGCAGTTACTAACTTGTGCTGACATCAAGCATCTGCCGTCGTCACTAGTGCCCAGATGGGTGACTACCTGGGTTTTTAGTGATGAATCGTCACCCCACATACACGTGTCCTAAACTTACATCTGCTCCCACAGTAAAAACAGGCTAATAACCATCACTCAATGTCCCAATGGCTTACGTTACAGTGGGTTAAATTACAAAAATAATTATTCATTTGTTATATAAATGTGTGGTAGTTGAGTTAATTTAATTACCTAACTCAACTATAACACATAACTTAATATATTTTATGTCACTTATTATACTTATAGTTTTAATAACAATTTCTGGATTTTGTTTTTCTTTATTTATTATACGAATTATTTTTTAATGCCATCTTTTTTTTTATTATAAGGGGAAACTCGTAGCAACATAGGCTATTTGGTGTGCGGTGATAAGGTAAGGCGTTTTTCGTATAGGTTTAGCAGTGTTTTATGTTGGTAGTGGGGTAGGTAACACGTGTTTGTTGTGTGTGACAAAAACATGTTGCTAAAAACCCGGGTGGTAGCAACGCCGGTTCTGTAAGTACACTCAGAGCGTTTCCGCAAATTGAGCATACGACCGCGTCACACCAAGCAACTTAATCTACTGTATGTAGCTACTACAGAGCAGTACCTACTCCCTTTTCAAAAAAATTAAAATAATTTTGTTTTTATTATACGGGATTAATTGTTTTAATTTTTGAACGAAAAAATTGTTAAATAAACTCATCAAATTTCTTTCTCTAGAAAATTAAATAGTGTAAGTAAGACCCATCATAATTGAAATAATTAATTATTAATAAATATTAAATATAATATGTTTATAAATGAATAAACATATAAAAATATTAAATCATATGAATAAAATAAATTTTTGTAAGAAGTAAAAATGATTTAACTATGTATTTAAATACTGTTTTGTTTTAAATGTTGTAACACATTGCATGTAAAATTATTCTTAATATATTAGCTCATTATTATTGGCATTTATCTATTTGGAATAGAAGTAAAATTCTTAGAATTCTGTAACGATTAGAAATAAGTAGGTAGGTGACTCTAACCTAAAAAAAACTTTGAGATAGTATTCATAGTAATATAGTAAATATTCTGAAATGTACCAAGGATAAATAATAACGATTATAATTGATTTGAGTAGGAAATATTACCCATACAGTATGATAATATTAAAAAATATTTAATGGTCTTGTTACCGTATATTCTAAGTATTTTTGCCAATAATTGTTTTGCCTGTCTCGCAGATACCTACATAATTTTCTGAATCCAAAATACAATGTAGTTATTAAATCCGCAATACGCACACGACATTTTGCAGGTAATATAATATGGTATACACTTCAGCGATTATTGCGACATTGGGCGTTGCTTAATATTTATATTTATTATTATTAGATGCGAGTGTAGATATTCTCCACGAACTGCGATTTCTGTTGATCGGCCGTCACGACACTATAAAGTGTGCTTTTTCGTAACAAAAGATTGGACTACGATTTATTTTTCCATCGAACTTTACAACAGTTGGGCTTAGTGACAGATCAGAGGGGCTGGGAAGGGGATAAACAAGATTTGTTAAGAATTTTGCGCCTCCCCTCCCCTCCTTCTCACACTCCCCCACAAATCCTGCAGGGAGAAGAAAGATAAAAACATAAGGCTGCGGCACATAGGTGCGTACACTGCGACAACGATAAAAATATATATTACGTGTATGTCATACCGACCGTGAAAGGTGTTACGCAAGGTCTTCGGGAAAGAATCCTGACAACAGGCGTACCGTATTACCACTTACTGACCGCCACCAGTAATATATTTTATTTGTATATTATATTCTCCAGTTTCACGACGCGGTTTAAGTACGACGGACACTACGGACCGACGGTTTTATATATTTTCGATTTGATTTTTTGATTTCGTTAAAATATGGTTTGCGACAATATTATGGTATAATATAATATAATTACTGCTATTGAAGAAATAACGTAGTGCCTACCGTTTTCGTAATTTTAACGCCGTCTTAGACTTTCAATAATAATAATTTAATACATACTTAACTTAAGGAATATCGTCTGAGTGAGCTTGTCATCCGTCTCAAAATGGACGACGCCGCTGCCTCCTCCGCCATCAACGAACCGTAAGTCAGAGTGTCATGTTACGTGCAATCAATTATTGAATTATTATGATTGATTGTTTGAAATATTATAATATAAAGTTAATAAATATTGATATTATTACGGTATAATGATGTAATATTATTTAAGCTAATAACCATGGTAATTGATGCTGTGACAGTAAAAAAATAAATGTAAAAAAGAATATTATTATTACCGTACTCATTGATTAAATACTATATTATTTCAATATTTCAATATTTTGTATTTAATCAATGCCGTACTGTTATAATGGCATAATTATTGTTAAAAGTTAATCGTCTATCACAGCGTCCGCGTGAACTCAAACGAGTGTTGGAAGTCTGTTGTATGCCCACACGCAGGTATATTTAATTGCTATTTACGATTGGTGTTATAATAATTGCATACTTGGTACAATTACACGCAATATTATAATGATATCGAATTATAATTGTTACTGATTCGCTATCGCCGTGTACGGTTTCGTTTTAATGTTTAAACCAAAATGTGTAAACTGCAATTGTATATTTTATGTGCGTATTGGCTTAAAATAATTCTGTTCATAATTACCTGGGAATGCTAAAAATTATTAGCAGAAGCTTAATCAAAATAATGTAGACAAACATTTAACTGCCAATAAAAAATTAAAATTATTTTTTAACGACAAAAAGAATAAGAATTAATATTTTTGTTATTTTTAAAAATTATTGTCCTACATAATACTTATCGGGTTTTTTTTTCATTTTTTTATGTTTAACTATTTAAACTAACAGTTAAACGTGTTTAACAATTTCAAAATTTGTCACCCATAAAATGAACTCATATTACCCATCTCACTTCACTGTGTTAAAAATGGCAAACTAAAATTAAAATATTTTAATATTCACCTACGCGAGTACCATCTAGTTTGGTTAGGTATGATCATTGAATCATCCGGTGGCGTTTCCGTCGATCGAAATTGCCACTGATAATTTATTTACTCAACTTGACGTTTGATAAATTAATAGTTTATAAACGGAAGCACTTTACTAAATAAAGCTTCTCTACCAATGTAGGTATATTATCCAAAATTATATTCACCCTCACTCGTGGTGTATATATATCCGGCTTTGTTATGTACTTACGTCGGTATTAAATTATTATTGAATAGTTTTACATTTAATCTCGTCGGTATTTTTTTACATTTTAAGTAGGTAACCTTCCTGAAATGCACCTATTTTATAAAATCACATGATTATAACGTAGTTTGTGAATTTTAAACTAATATATTATTATGATTGTACAGCACCAAAATATTTTATGCATAACTGTTATTTTTCATTATGCGCTTATAAATATAACTATTTTTTTTTTTTTTTAATTTAAGCTTCGGCAACTGAGGACATTAGCTGTAGGTTGTGTGTTACTGTAGGGTTTGGGACTGTAGGGGGGGAAACACGTGTGTGTTTTTGTTTTTAGCAGAATTTCTATTGAGCACCCGTAGGTTTCTGCCATGCCCGGTTGGGGGATGACGGCTAAATATAACTATTATTTTAATGTAAAATATCGATTTCTTAAGTGCAAATAGTTATGATGAAAATTAAATAGTAATTCAAAAATGTTTTCTCATGCTTTATAATACGTAACTCAACATAATTTGTAGAAAAAAATATATCAAAGTATTTTAACAATTGCAACAGAGTAGGTACCTACTGGCTACAAGGTACTCTTTGCAGTTATATAACTTATACTATCAACTTGGTAGGCAAGTAGTTTACAATAATTAATAACTAATAAAGAACGACGAACTTAAACTCAATAGTAGGTACACTGCTGACTGCTATAAATGATTTGTCAACATGCATTGCCTTATTACCTTTAAAACTATAATAGCTTTGCACAATACTGCCTCGCCCAATATTCTAATTTGATATCGTTTTAAATTCACTTGCATGGTCAAATATTTGACTTTGCATCATAAACTGGTTTCAAAAAACTTGGTGATAATTTATGTTTAGATATTAATTTTGAAGTTTGTACGTTTCAATGACAAATGCATCGGATGGTTATTTTTTTTTTTTTTTTTCCGTTTGAACCGACAGCAGATGAGGATCTGTGTGAACACTACTACTCCTGGTTATTTTTTACTTAAGTAACAATGAAAACTTGATCGACAGTAAAATTAAATTATTAGGACAGAATAGTATTTGTAGTAATAGTATTTTTTCAAAATGCACCTATTATAGTATGAGGTAATCTTAAGTTTTGAGTATTAACATCTCAAATTACAATTTACAATTCTATTATTTATGTATTATAATCTATTATTTAAGTCATTTAATTTTATTAATTAAAACAATTAAAAATTAAAATTAATTAATTATAAATTAATATTTATTATACATAAATATATAAAAAACTGTCAACTGATTTGTAACCAAGTCATATTCAGATTCGTTAAGCTCCCAAAAATGCTTAAGTGGCCACTGAAATAACAACAGTATAAAATCTAAAATAAATAGAAGCAATAAATTACCACGAAAATGAAATATCTATTGTCTGGATACCAGGCCACAGTAACATAGAAGGAAATTAGGAGTTGACTGTCTAGCAAAGGAAGCAGCTAATAATGAGAAAATAAAAATAAGCGAGAAACACCATACTTATGAAAATGTACCCCGATATATTAACACTGCAATTGTGAAAAAATGGCCATTCGAATAAAAAAAAAAAGAAACCAAACTCAGCGAAATTAAACTCAAAACAGAACGTCGGAAAAATATAGCGAATCTTAGCAGAAAAAAGGATGTGTTAATAGCACGTCTAAGGATAGGAGGACAAACTCGCTACATACACGGTTGTCTAATGAATAATAAAGAACAAATCAAATGCCTAACATGTGAAAAGTTCAACGAACAATCAAAGATATACTCGTCAAATGCAGACAAATGGAAGCCGCCAAAACTAAACACAAAATTCCAGAGTTTCTATATCAATCCTTAGGCTCGAGCGTGTCAAAAATTAAACAGACCCTAAGCTTCATAAGACCAATAGAAATAAATAATGTAATATAGACAGTTACAACATATAAAACATATAAAACATATAAAACATATAAAATATATAAAACATATGTAAAAAACAAACTATCATTACCATCATAATATTGTAAAATCTAATATTATGTAAAAAACAAAAATGTCAGGCGTCAGCCAATGACCATTGCTGCTGAAAAATAGAATCAACCGATTAAATTTTAGATAGATAAATTATGATCCAAGGTAATCTAAATATATTAAGAATAATATGCACTTTACCATTCAATTTCGCATGTAGTCAAAATATGATTAGGCAACATTACAAAATCATAAACCTGAAAACAATCGATAAAAGTAAAATTATTATGTAATCTTGTATTACTGAGGATAAAAAAACTTGTATGAATATGATATAACAAAATTTGTTTTTATTCACTAAAGCGAAAAAAACAGGCTTAAATTAATTAAGTTGTAATCCACATAATTTGTTTTTTATGTTCTTGATATTTTTTTCACTATTGACAAAAAAAAAAAATTTTTATTACATATTATGTAGAAGTACTTATTACTAAGATTCGTTACAATTTATTCGTAATTTATCTTATACCTACTTGACGTTTTTAAAGTTTCACTTATTATTAATAAAAACTTAATTAGTATTTATTTGTTGGATAATAATTAAATTAAAACACACATAAAATAAAACGTATTAATATTAAAAATTAATTGGTTTTGTAAACTATTGTTAAATAATATATAATGTTATTTAATTTAGGTTATTTATATTGTGAATTGTCCCAAGAAACTGTGATTATTTTAATTTTAATTTTAAAGTTTTCCTTACTTAATCGTCTAAAATTAGTTCTTAGAAGCCTAGAAAGTACAAATATTTTCCACTCCGCGAGGTTCATTTTACAGTTTCTTTTTCTTTTACACGTGCGGAAAATAAGTTATAATATTTTTGAATTTTTTTCACATAATCACCCTGAGAAATTTCAGAAACTATTTTAACGAATTAAACTTTAGACCTTCATAATATATTATTACACTTTGACTGTAATATTATGTACCTACCGGCGAAAAAGATCAACTGAAATATGATTTTTGGTGCAACTATTATTCTGATAATTCCATTTTAAGGGTGAAAATGTGTTTCGGTAAAAGTCAGTGCCATACGAGTCTTCCTTTGTTTTAAAATAAAAGTTATAACTATGTTTAATATTTACTCTAAAATTGAATTATGAACATTTTTCATGAACCACATAATGTTTTATTTTATGAAATTATATGGTTTAAAAAATAATTTTTTAAAACTTTTTCCAACAATAATTTACGATTATTAATTATTATGTTGATTATGCACGAATCTGGTTACACGCCAAAATAAAGATAATTTTCAATATAAAATGTATAACGGTAATATTATGTGCAATTAATGTATTCAAAATTTCAAACACGATATTCCGATGGATGGACCAATGTGATTCGTATTGATCATTACACATGCAGGACTTCAGTACATCATCAATGCTTATCAGTTGTAATATACTACAAATCGTATTTTTTAATAAGTATATACTATACTATACTATACTACTATTATACGTTTTGTATTGACAAAACAATAGTCATAGTTTTTTTTAATTTAACTATTATTTAATTTAAAATTTGGGCTTAGTGATTTCTTTTAAATTGTGATCATCTCTCGTGTCCATATAATATTATTATGACTTCGTGTAAGAATACATTTTATACTCTTACACTATATTAGTACTGTAGGAGGTTAGTTCACTGCGAATGATAATAAACGTTTTACGATGTTGTTTCGAATTCGATTAAAAATACAATAACTTCTATACATTACAGAAAATGTTTTGTTGAGTTTTTATTTCGGGTGGTTGGCTTTCATGATAGTATGGTGATCACAGAGCAAGCCTCCCTTTTGGAAGAAAGTGGTAAATAAAAATGGAACGTAGAAAAAATCA